CCGCTGCAGCTGGACCCGCGGAGTGGCCGGGCACGCGCCCTTCTCCAGCACGGCGCCTCTGCTGTGCGCAGGCCCGCACGGGGGTGGCCGGGGGCAAGGCGGCTGCAAGGCCCTGGGGATCAGGGAAGGATGGGCGAGGGAGGGGCAGGCTCTACTTCGGAAGGATCCCTGGCTCTGCTCACAGTGCTCCTGACAAAGCTGGACGAGGTTTGTTGGGTACACGGCATATCTTTTTTTTTAAACCAGCTAGCCGAAAAACAATCTTCTTTGCAAACTTCAGGGCACAAACGCCTCCTCCAGGCCCAGCAAAGCTAGTCATGGAGCAGCTGGAAACCCTCCAGGAAGGGGAAGTGCGCCGGCTTCAGGGCGTGTTGGCGGGGCCCAGCCCTGTCTGCTGAAGAGCAGCTCCAGGGGCCCGAGTGAGTCTGTGAATCCTCAGAACACAGATTTTGCACCGATAAAAGTTTATTGAGGTTTTACCTTGGCCAGTGGGGCGATTAACGGATTAATCTTCAACAAGATTGCAGGAAAATGAGGCATCATCAAGAAGCTCATCATAAAATTCACAAGAGTGAATGAGTTTGTTACAAGCTGCCTATCAGTTAATGACCCTAGCAAGGAGAAATCTGAATCAGCGACTCTGCCACAAGGAACCTATATGTGGTTTCCCCCTCTGCGCCCTTTGGTGGCAAAGTGATTAGTCACAAAGTTGGGCAGAAACCCCTGGTATTTTACTGACATTCCCTTTTAAAGCATCATGCAGCAAAATGTGCCCCTACTTAACTAAAAATAGCATCCTACCACATTCACCTTCGTTGCTGAGGAGTAAGTTTGAGAGCCCATTTACTTTGGTAAAAGTCCTTTGCGGTTTTTATCTCCACTCAACAAACTATATATAGCTAAAAACGCAAGTAGCAGACCTCCCAAGAGCTATTGATCTCCTAGACAAGGCTCTCGTGCATCACTGATCGCATCGAGTACTAGGTGCACCATGCTGTTTGGGGCCAGGTCGTGCAGAGCTGAGCAGCTGCAAAGTGCAGGGTTTTGTGGTGGGGGCACCGCTGTCGGCTTTCGGAGAAGCCCTGCTTGGTGGGCAGAAGCCACGTGGCCCTGACGGGGCAGACAAAGGCTTTCCCATACGGGTGGTATTGCAGTGCAAGCTGGTTAGTGTCCACGAACTGGGCCAGAGCCTCTGCTTACCCACATCCAAGCATCTTTTTTTATTATTACTTATTTCTATATAATGTATAAATAAACTCCACCTCCAACACTCTGCCAAGCGGCCCTTGCAGGTCACTTGGCAACTCAAAGCACATTAACAACCCGGTGTACAGCTCACACCCCACATCCATGCACGTCTGCTGCAGGTAGCAGAGAAACCCCGGCTGAGGCCAGGGAGCACCTGGTGCATGCCCCGCATCCCCTGGGGTCCTCCTTGGTGCTGGTGACTATTGATTGCCCTTCGCAACAGGGCAGGGCTCCAGAGCCCACAATCAAGGCCCTTTTGCTTCTGGTTCATGGGGCACATTACTGACCATCTTGAAACAGCCTCCTTGTGCGTGGACCATGGTAGTCCAGCTAAAAGAATGGGGGGAATTCAAGGCCTGGTCAAGGCATCCTTAGCCCCTGCCTGACACACAGCAGCTAATGCCACTTTCTTCCTGAGCCAGAACGGCTGGTTCTGGGTCCACATTGCTGTTTTCCCTGCAAAGTAGAGGCAGTGTTCAGGCATTAGTTGTGAGCTCTGGGCAGCAGGAACAAGAGCACCACCCAATCTTGCTCCTATCTGATGGCACCAGCAAGTCACCCCCCTGCAAGCCTTTCTGGCACAGTGGACTGCAGCAGCTGGGGTTGGCTTGCAGGGAGGTGACTTGCCAGTGCCTTCAGC